ACAAATGAATTAGGTTTAGTGGCTCGGTCATAACACTATGAAGTAGCAACAGCAAACCACTGTGGAATCTACAGTATAAGAGCAATTACCGGCTGTTTTGCCCATTGCCATTTTGCATTTTTTTTTAAGTTTTAGAAATTAAATTTAAACATAAATGTAGGTCATGGTTGTGGTCTCAATCCATCATGCAGCTCAGCCCCAAACAAAATGTCACAAATGTTATCTTTTATAATGTTTCCAAATCCCTTTGAGGAAAATGCACATATTTTAATATTTCTGGAACCGAGTCACAGCGACCCTCACCAGAATAATGTTTTAATTCCACTCAATCCTAAACAGAACCTTTGATTGAGCTTTTGCTCGAGCTGCTGTGTATTCAAATCCAACTAACTAGTTCCTTTTGAAACTGTTATCTGCACTAGTTTTTACGTGCTTGCGTTTTCAATTCTCATTATTACTAATAAATGAAATGTCATTATTAAGTCCCAGCCTGCGTTCTGGATCTACAGCCTCAGTCTCGGGTCTTCAGCCTCAGTTCTGGATCTCGTGCACAAAAGTTTGGCATACCCAAATGTCTTTGCTTATTTAGTTTATGTAAATATACACTGAAATAATGTATGTCATTCCTATTTCACTCTGCATCCTTTGAAGTTTGGGAAAAAAACCTGTTTTTTTTTTTTTAGCCTTGCCTAAAAAATTCAATGTATAAATGCCCTAAAAAAGCCTACTTCATTGGAAGAAGAAAATTTTCAACGCTAATTTGTTCATTGTGTTCACTGTGTAAAGTTTCAGACTTCTAAGTTTTATAGTTTTTATGCAGTTTCTCTTTTTTATCAAGTAGTGCCATTCGGAACCAATTTGGCAAAATGTGTGCCAAATTGTGCCAAACTGCTTTACTGACATTTCAGTTCCTACAAGTCCCACCCATCAAAAAAAGCTCTTTTTTATTGGCTACTTAGACACGTCAATCATTCAGTGTTAGCACATTGCGCTAGCCTGTAATCAACAACAAGGGAAAAAGGACCCTGTGCAAGTGGATGCGGTTTGTCTTTTTCACAAGGGTCCTGCGGACTGAAAACTGCTCCTATCTTTTCATGGAACCTCTCTTTTTAAAGCTAAGGACTCAAGGAATACGTGGATATGATGTTCCAAAGCTCAAACGTGGTGAAATGTGAAAGAGAAGCTTGAACATTTTTCTGAGCGTTTTTTTGCAACAGAAAAATGCACATTTTTGGATTATTTCTGAAGAATGGATTATACTTTGAAGGGCGACAGTAGCTCAGTTGGTAGAGCATTGGCCTTAAGGCCTGAAGGTTGTGGGTTCAATTCCCACCTCTACACCTTCTCCACCGACTCCCACTGATGACTGCTGTCGTTGTGTCCTTGGGCAAGACACTTAACCCCACTTTGCCCAAAAGCCCCCACTGAAAGATCAAGGCTATGCTCACACTCAGAGAGCAGCCGTCCTCCTGTGGACTCACCACCTGCAGAGGGTCAGTGAGGGGCTGGTGCTATGAGACTTGGGTGGCATCTCTGACTGCCACCCCCCTGACCCAGAAATGGATTAAAGGGTAGAAAATGGATGGATGGATGAATGGATTATACTTTGGGAAATACAAGTGGATATTCTTTTTAAATGAAGACTTACGGAGAGAAAGAGACTGAGCAAGGATGGGGAAAGTCTAATTTGTTGGAGCAGCAGAAGACGATTGGTAAAAAACTTATACAAAGGTGATTTCTTTTGTGCCCATATTATGCGTTATATCTTTTTAATGCAAAGTCTGATATCGTTTACATATAAATATAGCTGAGAAAATAAGCTTTAAAATGATGTATAGCTTGTGGCTTATGAAGTTCAAAATACATCTGCTATTGCCAGCAGAAGTATTTTTTTTCTCGTTTGCCCCCGCCGGCGGGCTTAAGAGGTTAAGGACTGGCCTAAGGACATTGATGATCCAGGATATTTATTGACATTTCTGGAGAGTGGTCATCCTGCTCCTTATGGACCAATGGCTCCTATGTGTTTGTTATTTTTGCATTTCCTGTGTCCGAACTGTATGATTCTCTGACCTGTTGTCGGTGTATCCACATCTTTTTACAGTTGTGCAGTCATGTTTGCAGTAGTCAATACACCAATAAATAGACGTGTGTACATTAAAGAGAGTATGTGTTCTGATTTGTTCACAAATTGTTGTGTTGGGCGGTTCACTCCAGGACACCTCTCACTCCGAGGCCTGAGTCTTATCTCTAACACCTCCAAGATTACACCAGGCAAAAGTCTCTGGGATTAGGCGGCTCTCATTCGGATGTACAAGTAAATTAATGCAAATACTGTAAACTAGCAGCAGATCTCATGTTAATGGGAAAACAGCGCAGGATTCCTCAGAGAGAAGTTTGACTGTTATCCTCAGCTCTCACGCCGCCGTGACCCGGGGCAGGTACGGCAGATTGTTTGCTGCTAAGGAGCGGGAGCATAATTAAAAGTCAATGAAGAGCAAAATTGCTATTTCGCAGGTTGTTGAGATCTGAAGAGAGCTTTGTGAAAAGGGAGAAGAACAGAGTGTGAGAGGGAGACAGCCCCCGGAGCGACACGAGGAATCCTCTTAAGAGCCTTTTTGAATAAAGTCGACGCCTCCCAATTATACAAGAAGATTTGTGCGGATTGGCCTCAGTGATGATTCATGTCAAAAGCAAATGGAGGTGCTTACTTTCTGAGGAGCGTTTTTCATTGAAATAGCTCAGAAGAAGGTGGTAAAGAAAAAGAATATGTGTTTAATCGTCAGGCAAGAAACGTGTTCAAGTAATCCAATTCTGATCCAATCAATTCCAATTGATAACAGCTCAGGGCAGTTATGCAGACTTCATGCCCAGTCTTAGACCATTATTAGCCCAGTGGAGAGCTATGTTTTAGCCCAGTTTTAGCAGCGGATCCAAATTGTGATCCAAATGTGACAGAGGCAAAAAACACATACACGTGGAAACAAGTGATAGAAGAAAACTGCTGTTATTAGGGATGTGGATTGATAAGAAGTCAAACTAAAATGGGGAAAAAACGTACACTATCTGTAATCACAGCCTCTCCTCTCTGTGACTCTGTGATCTAAACTGAATACAGGAGTTTAGATCGTTCTTCTTTTAATGCAAACACAGTCCCACAATGCACTTCTTCACTCTGACCTCCACTCGACCCAGTGTCACACAGAAATAACATTAAAACATATCAACGTCACTCAATATTGTGTTAAAATTTTCTTCACACAATATCTTCAGCCGTCTGAAATGAAAATTTCTGCATTAAATCCTCAACAAACATGATCTGAATCTTATGGATTTCACCACTGCTCTGTATGTGCACTGCAACATCATCGTTTCTCCACTGTGGGACAAATGAAGGTTCTCTTTTCTTATCTTGAAATAACTTCAGAAACTACATTTTAAAGACTACAACTACAACGTAAATATTGTCATGTCTAGCAGATAAAAAAAATACGTACGTCCATGCAGGGTTTGATTGATTTAGAAATACAGTTTTAATACCATTTTATATTGAAGAGAACTACTAAAGGTTTCAAAATCAATAGTTTTTTGTCTGATCCCCCAAAATTGACCATAGCAACGCCCTTAGAGACGAGAAAAAGCCTCTTCTCCCTTGGTGACGTCAGAGCGGGTACGTTTCAACCGGCTGGAAGTTGTTTACAATTTGGTATTTTGTCTTTTTTCGCGGATATTCAAGATGACAAGGCGGTGTACAGCGAATATAACACTACTACTAGTGTTTATCACCACATTGGCGCTGTGATAGTCCAGTGGTTGTGTCATTGTGCTAACAAACCAGAGACTGAAGTTCAATTGCGAACCTCAGTCACATTTTCACTCTCAAATTGGCAATATATGTGTAATGAGAAATTGACACCTGTAGAGTGCAGTATTGTGTCGGACATCAGTGGAGAGAAGAGCGGATAGGTGAGTATCTGTGGCATAGATCCATGACTTTCAATGCATGGGCGTTACCCGCTATGACGTCACACACAGGTTAGAGGAGTAGACAACTTAAATTCATTAAAAACACATAATTTTTATAAAATATAGGATTTTTTTTGCCGGAATGTATTTCAGATCGACAGTAATTGATTAACTGTCATGCAATTTTGATATCCAAAATAAAAAGAAATAAAAACTGCATAAGGTCTTTAATTTTGGTAGTTAGTGCTAGTAAATCTAATCAATTTAAAAGTATCATAAAAGAGTTTTATAAAAGCAAAACACAACATCAGTCCACAACATGCTGTAAATGTTATCTTTGGTCTCTCTATCCCTAGTCTCCCTCTTGTCTCTCTGATTTCTCTCAGGTCTCTCTCTCTGGCCTCTCCCTGGACTCTCTCGGATTGCCAACTTCCAATGGCAGGCTGGGGACTAGTCCTCAGGTCCAATGAGTTTGGGGTTTCGAGGACAGTGGGTGAACTGCAATGTATTATTGCATTTAAAACATAAGTCTAACTGTAGACTAGTTTTAATCTGTAGCACTTTGAGGTTTCACGGAAATGTGAGCTGCAATATAAATAAAATCTATCATTATTTTTATTATCACTGGTAACATATAAGTCATATTCGTCAATTACAGGAATCCATCCAGTTACAGAAACTGTCTACAAATGGAGAGAGTTTGTGAGTGTTGCTTTTCTCCCACAGAGAGATCATCCACAGAATACTCTGAGAGGAAACAAAGAATCCTGGAGTCAACCATAGAAAAACCCTAAAGACTTATAGCAACCACTGGCACAGTCCAACATCTCTGTGCAACATCTACTACTTACTATACTGGATTTGATTAGAGCAAGGAAGTGGTATAGATTCTGCATTGGGTCTTATATTTTCTGATCATGTGTGATTTCCTCATATACCTTCTTCTAAACTACTGCTCAGAGAAGAGACATGTGACAGCAGAGGAACCTGAGAGCACACCAGAGCTTTATTTCTACAAACAAACCTTCTGATTGGCCTCAGGCTCCATGCTCTGTGCAGCTCCTCCTCACAGAAGTGTCAGCCGTGGTCTCTGTCTGTAGAACACCAATGTCAACACCACACACAGTGGTGCAGCACCGCAGCAGCACTTGCTCGCCTGTCCCGTCTGAAGTCAGTTTTGTAATGGGACGTCATGTCTTTCCCGCTCTCATGCTGCTGCTGCTCATAGTCTCAAACGAAGCCAAAGTTAGCTTCTATGACCTAAGTTCTGATCTAAACCTGGACCAGAGAGACCGAAGATGAGCTGTAGTCATCAGGCTTCAGGAGGAGAGGAGGATCCAGGAGTTTGTGAAGTAGTGAACGCAGAGCACCCACACATGCTGAGAGTCAACTTAAAGGACAACTCACCTTTTTTTGCTGATAGACGGTATAAATGAGGGTCCAATAGTGTCGTGTACATATCCTGGTCTTAATTTTGTCACTTTAGTGCAAATTAGTTGAAAGATCAACTTTCGGCCTAAAACTGTCAGTGAGGCGCCATCTTTTTACTACATTTGAATTTTGAATCTGGCGCCAACATTGGCGCAGCAGTGATACCTGACGTCTGCAGTGAAACCTGACGTCTGCAGTGATACTTGACGTCTGCAGTGATACCTGACGTCTGCAGTGATACTTGACCGTCTGCAGTGATACTTGACGTCTGCAGTGATACCTGACGTCTGCAGTGATACCTGACGTCTGCAGTGATACCTGACGTCTGCAGTGATACTTGACGTCTGCAGTGATACTTGACCGTCTGCAGTGATACTTGACGTCTGCAGTGATACCTGACGTCTGCAGTGATACCTGACGTCTGCAGTGATACCTGACGTCTGCAGTGATACCTGACGTCTGCAGTGATACTTGACGTCTGCAGTGATACCTGACGTCTGCAGTGAAGGCTGACGTCAGTTGCCCTGCCGCCCCTAGCGAAGGAAGGAATAGCAGAGAGTATTTTCATCTATTGTCAGGTTTGCGATTAGTTATAGCATTTAGGTAGGTTTTATTAGCATAGCTGTTTGTATTATTGATAATTCCATCCATCCATCCATTTTCTACCCTTTAATCCATTTCTGGGTCAGGGGGGTGGCAATCAGAGACGCCACCCAAGTCTCATAGCACCAGCCCCTCACTGACCCTCTGCAGGTGGTGAGTCCACAGGAGGATTATTGATAATTGTGTAGTGTTAATAGCGTTGAATATTGTAGTTTTAACCCTATATGCCCGCGTGCATCGGCGCAGATGCATGCGCACATGTTTTACAAATGATCAATTTACTCGCGAACGGTAAAACGTAGCAACTTACTTTTTTTCCTCTGTGAAGTACGTATTCAGGGCTTTCCGAAACTAGTTTTGATTTGTCTGTGCGATGCACGGAGGATAAACTACGTTTGTCTGAAAGATCCGTGTCCAAAGCGTGACCCGTGAGGTACAAACAGCTGTGAGATACCAACACACGCCAAAGATCGTCAGAGAGTGATTTGTATCAATTTCAAACACAAATTTCTACTTTGCTTTGGACATTTTGTTCAGCACTGCCTGTCTAATACAAATCTTCTCTGAGTGTCATTCCTTTCAAAACATAATGATTTCTTCCTTCTCTAAGTGCCAGACACGACATGCCAGTTTTAACTACTCCAACTGAATCTGCCAACAGCACAAGTACCCGAGTGTTTCATGAGCTAAGTCCAATAATTTGAGCAGTTTTCATACTACTTTGAAATGTCAAGGTGTGAAAGCGCTAAGGCAAAAACCAAACAAGATTCCCCAAAACCCCTCAAATATGTAGATTTGGCAAGCTCAAGACAAAGAGACCTAGTTAGAGTTGCATGTTAGCTAATAAGATTAGACATATTTACTAGCATCTTGCCGGACAGTTTTGTAATATCTGGGAGAAATACACATATTTTATGCTTTGACATTTGCAGATCTAATTGACTGAATGGTTGGGAGTGGAAGCGATGCATAGATTAGGCAATTAGCCCATTACACGGTAGCAGTGGTGCAGATTGGAAGCACGTTTGCTAGCATATCTAGTTCGGGCAGATACTAACCCTTTAGGACTACACATGTGTGTGCCTGAGTTGGATGAGTGTGTGTGTATATAATTGTCCCAGTGTGTGTTGAGGATGTCCTGATCCGATCTTGAGATCAGGATATTTCATGGTGTTAATGACGACTTGCCCAGTTGTTGTGAAGGTAGCAGACAATAATTTATAATACCGAACATTAAACAGAGCATACGCCGCATTTGTTATTGTTGTCTTGGGGTTTCACTACAGTATACTTCGGTAGTGACGGGCAGATGAAGCCCCGTAACACAACCAACACTTTCTTTGCCAGATTGATAAAATGTGTTGGAGCCCTTGACCTCATACTATCGTTGCAGCTTCTGAATACTTGATCGCAAAGCAAACACTGCACCACTTTTAATAATAATGACAATTTCAACATTAAACATAAAACCGCATAAATAATTACCGTACATTAAAACAAATATAGTATTGTGTATTTCAAATACAGCACACGTCCATACAAGAAGACACTTCTATTTTCTGTCATCCACGTATCAACATCTATGAAAATATGATATTCTATATATAATCGTGAAACGTCTCCATGACATGTGTTTTATACTAATGATTAATAATCAAGTGTTCTTATAATAATCATTAGGTGTTTGCATAAAAGGCTTTTTTGTATTATGTGCTAGCCTGGGTTTAGGGAGTTCAGTGAAAATTCAAGGACAGTCGGTTTCTGTGATATAGTATTCTTTTCGGAGAGGGAGTCTTCCCTTATCTCACTGGATAGGAGATGAGACTGGACTAGACCAGAACCAGACCAGGCTCTTACCATTTATGGGGAAAAAATTACGTCTTCTGAGGCACTTCCTGCATCTTCTACACATTTTCATAAAACTGTTTTGGTACAACAATGTTAGTCAGTCTGAGCCAGGGACAGAGAGAGGACTTCACAGATTTCCTGGAAGTCCTCTCATTATATTTTCTTGCCTGGAGGGATGGTTTTGTCTTTTGTTGACTAAAGGCGCATGATGACTTTATATTGCGAGAAACTTTTGCTGTTTTGGCGACAGTGGGAGTAAAAGCTGAGCATAACACACTGGAGGGACTCGCGTGTGTTTAGAGATTATGGTTCATACATATCCGTATTGTTTGCAATATTGTTATGTGATGCGCATACACAGACATAGGTCAGTTTTGTTCTGATTTCAGCGGAGTTGGTCAAATAGCTGAAAGGTCTGCGTGAACAGGTAGTCCATTTTGTTGTTGTTTGTATCACAGCTTTACCCGTTTGGTTTGGTTTGAACGCAAACCAACATTTGTATTTGTTTTCTCCAAGTTGCAAACTCACCAGCCTCTCCCTCCCCACACACACCGACGCCCGTCCTCCTGTCCATTTTGGCAGCCCCTGCGTTGCCAGGTTGAGCTAATTGCCCTCTCCGATTGCCACGTCTGCTGATCTCTGGTCCAGCTTGGCTGCGGATCAGAGCGTGACCTGGTTGGACCACACTGCCCCCTGGTGGTCTCTGTGGGATGTGATGACCCCCATGGCAACGAGCTGATTGGACACTTCAACCCGAGCTGAAAGGGCGCCAGAAGGCGGGCAGGAAGAGTGACATTGGGCTTTTGAGAGAGGGAAATTGTTTACGCTGGTTCAGCCACGGTTTCTCCTTCGATAAAAATGGACCACAAATTCTGCTTAGATATATAAAAAAGGGTTTAATATATATAAGACAGAATTCAAGATACAGACAAGTGGCAGACTGCTTGATCCTAGTCTGGGCCCATGCTCCCTGGCACACCCAAAGCAAAAGACCCTGTTTCAAGACAGGCTATCGATGAAAAGCACACAGTCACATGACATGATAATTGAAAACACATGTCTCACCATCCTTAGGTGAACACAATAGCTCCTTTCTCCAAAACACACAGTAGCCCCTCTCAAAGTAAGCCTGAGGCTATAACAGATGTTTTCTGCGCTCTTAATTTAACTTCCTGTGTATAATAGCTGGGGGTTTGACTCCGCACATTCTTGTCTCCTGCCTGGATCAATACTACTAGTTTTTAGATCCACACTAGACTAAACGTTACATTTATTAATATGATAATAACACAATAACATACTCCATTGACATAATCCCCCCCTATTCATAATATATAAATGTAAAGTTTTAACATCCAGTATTACATCTCTTGTCAGTTTTCTGCAATACCTTCATAACAAACTTACACAGAAATATCAAAATCATCATTTACATTTGTGTGAGCTAACAACGCTTGACATTGATCCGAAAACAATGTGTCTGCAACTGCAGTGTTTATCATCCTGTTGGTTAAAGACTTCGCACATGGCAACAAACAAGTGACAAATATGCAAAATAAAACCAAAATCATTATTGCAGGTGTCGCTATTTTCAATATCAGTTGCCACCATGCTCCAGTAGAAAACCATGACAATAAGTCCCAATTCATGTTGTCATTGTCTCGCTCACTTAGCATCTCAGTTTTAAGACTTTTTAGCCGATCCAAAATTAGTGAATAATTTGAGTTGGATGATGGAATGAACGTACAACAATGATCCTTAATTAACTGACACACACCACCAGTTTCAGATAAAACAAAATCTAATGCCACTCGATTCTGCATGATCATTTGACGCATAGCCTCTTTCTCTGAATCTCCCCTGATTTGTTCAGTGAGGTCCATGACAATATTAGTCAAATTCTCCAAATTCCATGCAATATCATTCATCCTATGACTTAAATATGCAACTCCATACATGGGAAGGGCTGTCATGAACACTACTCTTACATCTGAGATTAAAGGTGGGCTTCTGGCCGCTGTGGCAGCAGCCCTTTTCTGCCTCTGGCCCAAGTGCTGTGTCAAGTTATCACTTGAAATGATATAGGAGGCCGGACCTAGGGTGGCCAGATGACAAGTTCCACACCATCTCTCTGGAAGCCACAGATACACTTTATCTCCACAAACCCACACCTGGTTTGACGGGCATGGATAGCCCCAAAACCCCGGGACCTCCACCAAAAAAGCTGGGTATGAGTGCCAGTTGGCCACTCCACTGACCTCACCCACTTTAGTGAAATTAATCACTGGGAACTCCCGTGCGGTCGGAGTAATAGTGAAGTATAATCTGTGATGTATCTCAGAGGTTTGTTGGTTATATAAGGATTTGAATTTGAATGATGAGGAACAAATGCACAAACATAACAATCTGACATATTATTTGCCTGAGCCGTTATTTCAGCCATGCGATACCAGTAGTTGTCTTTATAGTGATCTACATCTATTTCTGCTCTAGCTGTACGCTTGACATTGTTATATTGTTGACTCCCCCACCAGAGCAGTGATGGAACCACAATAACTATCAATGTAATCAGCATTATTAGACCACTACTGCATCGAAGTCCATGTCGAGTGGAGAATACTTTGAAGACCATCTTGTAAACAGTCCTTTTTGAAACAGTCCAATTCACCAATATCACAAGATGAGAGGTTACTAGCACATCATCAAGTTGTACAAACTGCGTTTCTTGTGCATTAAACCACTGGAGGATCTCCCTGCTTCACTGACTGTTGAGACGAGCACGTTTGCCCCCCTTTGTAGGTCAGCCTTCCCCTCCGCTGTGGTTGACACAAAATCTCTCAGATTTCTCTTTTTGCAGTGTGAGAGGTGAATCCACGTGGGTCTTTCTGCTATCTTCACAGCAGTGGGTGTCGTCAGAAGCACTTGATGCGGACCTTCCCACCGTGGACCACAGGACTTTCGTTTGATGACTTTAACAAACACCCAGTCTCCAACTCGAACAGGCAGCTCCTGTGCACAAAATGGTTGACTCGGAACATTATTTGTTTCTTGACACGCTCTAGTCAATAATGTTTTTCTCATATAGTCAGCCAACGTAGGATTATCATCAGGAGAGAACTGCTTATTTGGCTGTAAATCTGGAAGTGTGTATGACCTACCATATAATATTTCAAATGGTGTCAATGCACTACCCTGAGTAGGTGTTATATGCATGCTTAACTGTACCAAGTCTATGCATTCAGGCCATTGTCTGTTTGTTTCCTCCATGCATTTCCTCAATTTAGCTTTAATAGCAGTGCCGTTATTTCTTTCAACTAAACCTGCACTTTGTGGATGGTAGCTACAATGTCTTTTTAGATTTATGTTGAGATTTTTTCCCACCTTATCAATCACATCATTTACAAAATGTGTTCCATTGTCACTCCTGATAACTCTGGGAATCGAAAATGTTGGCACAATTCTTTTACATATTGCTTTAGCCACTGTTAGAGCGTCCGGAGAGTGACAAGGAAACAATTCTACCCATTTGGAAAATGCATCAATAATCACGAGGCAATATTCCAAATTATTCACTTTATTTAACTGGATAAAGTCCATGTGGATTTCTTCAAAAGGATGTGTGGGTTTAGGAAATACCCCCCTTTTTGGTCTCATATTTCCTTGTGAATTGTGTTTTATACAGATTACACACTGATTACAAAAATGTTTTGAGTATAAATTGTACCCATATGTTGTGTAATATTTGTTCACCAATCCACACATACTTGCAGAAGTAACATGGGTTACTCCGTGACTCACTAAAGCCGCCCATTTAAACATTGATTTAGGTAGAACTGGCTTATCGTTTGGACCCATGTACAAACTCCCATTGAATATAGCTCCCTCTTTAAGCCATTTCTCTTTTTCTGCTTTTGGCGCTTGTTGCTGCATTTCTTTTAAAAGATCGTCAGAATCTTGTGTTTCTTCACTAAGCAGTAATCCTGTTACTTCTTTTGCAGCTTTATCAGCTGTGTCATTTCCTGTTGACACTTTGTCTGTCCCTCGCGTGTGAGCTTCACATTTACATACAGCAAGCTGCTGTGGCAACATTATCGCTTTGAGTAAATTCTTTAATAATGTTGCATGTTTTACATCTTTTCCCGCAGAAGTTTTATAACCACGATGTTTCCACTGTTGACAAAACAAATGAACTGTAGCGTATGCATATTGGCTATCAGTATACACCGTTAATTTCTTATCTTTATGCAATTCACAAGCTCTTGTTAAAGCTACTAATTCTGCTGCTTGTGCAGATAAGTTACTTGGAAGTACTTTTGCTTCAATTGTTTTATCCACAGTGGTAACAGAGTATCCTACATGATTTTTCCCAAACTCATCTTTCCCTGTTGAGCCATCAACAAACACTGTAATTCCCCCAGAGAGTGGCATGTCCTTTATATCAGGTCTTGGACGGAAGTCTTTATATGCTTCTTGAACACAATCATGTGCAGTGCCATCTCCTTCTGTTGGAATTAGAGTAGATGGATTTACTGTATGACATCTTTCTACGGTCACATGTGATTGTGACAGCAGAAGTGTCATGCAGGAAAGGTGACGGGCTGGTGATAGGAATGTCATGCTTGTTTGCAAAAGTAGCATTGACACAGCATGTGGTACTTTCAAGGTCATTGGGTGAAACAGAACAACTTCAGCAGATGCCTGGACAGCTAATGCTGCAGCCAAAACCGCTTGGACACACACTGGAGTCGCTCTGGCCACCGGGTCAAGCTTCGAAGAGTAATAAGCAATTGGTCTTTGTTTTGACCCCCATTTTTGAGTCAATACTGATGTCATGAATCCATTTTTACAGTCAACTGTCTGTTCAAATGGCTTAGAGTAGTCCGGCAAAGCTAAAACTGTTGAGCTAGCTATAATTCCTTTAATTTTGCTAAAGGCTTTGACTGCTTCATCAGTCCAATGAATGTTTTCTTTAGGTGTCATTGGCTTTTCAAAAATTAAATTTTGTAATGGTCTTACTAATTCTGCATAATTAGCTACCCATTGCCGGCAATAATTACATAACCCCAAAAATGACATCATCTGTTTTTTAGTTTCGGGTCTAGGTGCAGCTAAAATAGAAGCTTTTCTTTCCCCATGGATTAACCTTCCATCTTTGGTTAATGTATGACCTAGGTATTTAACTTCTGTCTTCCATAACTGTATTTTATTTTTTGCTGACCTTATTGCCAGTTTTAGCCAAGTGTTTCAGTAAAGCTATAGTATCTTTTTTACAGCTCTCAACTGTCTTAGACGCCACCAAAATGTCATCCACATAGCTCAAAATCTGGCTTCCCTCCGGTGGATTAAAATCAGCAAGACAATTTTTTATTGCATCAGAGAAAATAGTTGGGGATTCAGCGAACCCCTGGCTTAATCTTGTGAAAACATATCTTTCCCCTTCAAAGGTAAATGCAAATCAAAATTGACTGTCTTTATGCACTGGAATGGACCAAAATGCATTGCTGAGATCAATCACAGAGAAGATTTTAGCCTCTGGTCATAATTGATTAAGCAGTGTATGTGGATCTGGTACAT